ATTAATTTAAGTAATAATGTTTTTGCATACTAAGTTATTAGCGCAAGCACAGGAAGTTGTATGGACTAAAATAAAAATCCGAACTCTGAAGTTAAGTATAAGATTCCTATTTTTTCTATAATTACAATTTGAGTTTTAAAGTATAATCAAGTAGATAGATATGCGTGTACGTGCACATGTATATGTCACCTGAATGTTCGGCTCACAAGCATTGAATTTTGTAAGGGTGGAAATTATAAACATCTTGACTCTGAAGTTTAGTTTGTGGCATGCTCGTAAATAACTTAAATTCTACTAATTTTTAATATTAGAGTTAGTTTAACATTTATTTTTATTCTAAATACAAGACCTTAATACACTTTGTTTATCATATTTATCCATTTTTTCGCATGATTAAAAATTCTGTGAAATGGCAATTCTAGCTAATCCGTATGATTAGAAAGAGTAGTTTAAGGAAAATAACATCTATTTATTACAAATAACTAACTTAACAAACTTTCTTAATCTGTTCAAATTAGTCAGTTAGCTCTTATATTAAATATCAGAGGTAGTAATATTTTTCTCAAAAATTAAAAAATATTATTTGACAACAAAGGAGATCAACTGATTTATTCCATGACGTAGGTTGCCACCTTAGATATAGTTTAATTTAAACTTTATTTACTTCCAACTAGATTGTAGGTTTCATGTTTTATGTTGTCATGCTGGGTACAATTATATATATTGATTGAAAAAATAATTTTCGCACAATAATATCAAATACTATTAAAAATTAATCCAAAATATTAGGCGTTACTTAAAAACTTTTAAAGTGGTGGTTTACTAGGAAAAGGCATAGAACATTGAAGGTGATGTCAGGAATGACGTATATGGGGTTGGCTTTTCACGTGTCGTGGAGTATATGGCTTTAAGTTGGCCGTTATTTAAATAGGAGGAAGAGGAGGAGGAGGAGGGAATTTGCCTGCCATCCTTCTAAAGTTGTGTGTTAAATAAGAGAGTTTGGCTGCATCGGTTATAAATTAATAGGAGTTGAAGGCAAATCATGATGATGTCTCCAGTTCCACACATGCTTACCTTATATTCATTATACTTTAATCATTGTCCTGTGTTTGTTCATTTCTTATATATATATATATATATATATAAATGCCACCAACAATATATATATATATATATATATATAGCCTACTGCCTACTATTGTATATATGTCCACCTTTCAATCAATATGAACACTTAAGCTTCCATGCATGCATGTATCCTTTTAATTCATTACCTCAAATCAAATTTGTTATACATCCAGGGCGGACCCAGGTTGTATAATGTGTTTGAGATTATGTTAGTGAGCTCCAAACAAACTGACTTCTCTGTTACAGAAATCAACTTCAAACTTAAAATGTATGTTTGGATGGGCGTTGTGAGTACAAGGGTTTATACTCTAAGGTGACTTTTTTTTCAACGCTACATTATGTTATTTTTGCCTTCTACAACGCATGTTATCCCAAAAAAGTGGGCTCACATTTGTAAGTGAGAGGTTGCTTTTACTTGTCCCCTCGAGTTCATTCCAAGATTAATGAAATGATTTTTTAAAAAAATAAATCTAATGTTATCTGTTATCTAGGATCATATTCATAAAATTTAGGAGAAATTGAGAAAAAAAAATTTTGTTAAAATTTAATTGGTAAGAAGTAAGTGATAAATTTTTTTACTCACCGAGTACTGACACTCTGTAAATTTTATACACAGAGTACTTATATTTTGATTTAGATCATTCTCATCGGTTATATTTCAATGGAAGGACTTTTCCCTAATTTTCCCTAAAACTAAAATATTTTAGTATTTTCAAATTTTTCTTTTTATTTTTGTAATTTTTAATTTTAACATTTCTCTTAAAATTATCATATATGTTATATACTGTTTAATAAAACTCACGTCGTGTTCAGTCATTTTACATCTATATTTATTTTTCTATTAATTAGGCATTCGAACAAGTTTTAGCTTATCAAAATTATCTTCTTTTTTTTTTTAACAAAAGACAATTCAAACATAAATCACACTATACTAATTAACTTTAACTTAAATTTATAAAGTCAATAAAATAAAAGTTATTTTATCATCGCTAATCCAAACATATTCCTAAATAGGTGTATTATTGTTTGAATTGCTTTTGCCTTCAGCATTCTAACAATTATTCTCACCTTTTTCTCACTGTTATTGGACAAGGACTTGTTTGGATTAACGTTTGCCCCAACAAATTTTTACAAATTATGCCAAATACTATTTTTTTCATCCAATTAATTAACTTTTTTTTTAATCTAACTCAATGCTGAGACTTTTTAATCAATGTTATTCCAAACATGTACTCAGCTTAGCTTCCTGTCGCTCTCAAGTCTCAGTAATTTTCCAAAAAAAGAAAGAGAAATAAGCATTTCATGCCATCATACTAAACGACAACGCTTGGAATGATGGCATGAAGTGCTTCTTTCGGCCAACTTGGTTCCAGCCCAAGAAAGATTATTTTTCATTTTTTCCCCCTTCAAGACGGGTTTACTCCCATTTATAATTTCTAATTTAATTTGGTAAGACTCTATTTTTAGGTCCATTATTGATTCTACCAAGTTTTTAGTTGTACTGTGTCATTGTTGTTATTGTTGTTGTTATTATTCATATCCTCACAAAATAGCGCATTTCATCAAAAAATAAGCAGCCTGTCAAAGTGATTTGTTAAAATGATATTTTGATCTTTTACATGAATAATACATTACATTAATTTATTGGCACTCATTTGGCCCCTTTTTCACGATTTTCTTGATCGTGTCGTTGATTCTTGTTCATATAATACAATTGAAGACACACATACATGCAAAGTACAAACATGTTATTATCCGGTTTGAACCGGAGACTCCAGTTGAGCGTAGTTGACGGAGTTGTTGCTTAAAGAACTAATCATTGACAAGATAACGCAGGGTTAATGAAGAAATTAATGTTGCTCTCTTTTTAATAATAATTTAGGATATTCATTCAGTATCTCTGAGAAGATAATTCAAAGGGTAAAAGTACCCTTAACAAATTAACTAACCATATGGCCGATTGACTTTGCGCGGTTTAATTTGCTTGACAAGTTCTGGAAAGTGGAAACTACCTTTTCAATGTAAGAGTAAAGCACGAATTAATAGGAAGTAGCATATAAGTAAAGCACTGTTCAAGAGACTGGGTTGTTCAGAAAGCAATTCCAAAGCTTTTTATTTAATTTGCATGCATACATCTTAACCAATTAAAATTAATTATCTCAATCTCAGGTGCTTTGGAAAGATAATTATGAATTAGTTTCTCGACAAAATATAACAGCCTCATGCTATCGGCCTTGACCAGTGTACCCCTTTCGGAGAAAAAACTTTGAAATAACAGAAATATACCCTCATGGATAAAAAGGAGGTGGAAAAAAGGACGAGAAGGAAGAAAAATGTTGCCTTCCATTGGAAAAAAGAGGACAAGAGCAGGCAAAAAAAAAAAACGGGGGGTTAAAAAGAAAGGAAAGAGATTTTTTTTTTAAGACACATCTGTTATTTTATTGAAAACAATTATATTCAAGGTCAGACACTAAATATAAATAAATTTTTCAATAAAAATTTAAATACTATTTTGTCATGTTACAATATACTAACTCATTTTGTTAGATTTAAACTCTAAACCCTACCCTTGAGAAGAAGCTTTAAAAGCAAAACATGAGGAGGAAGTATGAGAACTCGAAATCTGGCCCAAATGGGAGAAAAAGCATCAATACAGAGAGGCCTGTCTTCCCTCAACTTTGAAATTGCCTATAGACCCTCGATTTTTTTTTTTTTAATTTCTTTAACATGACCTCATTGTTAACATTTTTTTTAGGGTTAAGATCTTGACATTTTTATACTTACAAATTGAATAGGGTTAAATAAATAAAAATGCCTGCGATCCCCAGCCAATCCTAAATCTCAATCTCATTTCCCTGTTTGTTTTGGTTCTCTCACAAATCCATTCTTATCCTTTTTCAGGATCTTTTTTTTTTTTCCCCCCTCACTCTTCTTTCTGGAGACTCTCCAAAGGAACCTCCCACTCATAGAAAAATCAATCACAACTCCTCAAATTTTTCGTATCTAATCCAGCAGTACAATGCAAAGGCCATTAGCTTACGAAACTGGGACGGTGAGGTCTCTTCACACCGATGACAAATTACAACCAGTTTTAAGGGACTTGACTGTATTTTTGCAGATTTATTACCGTACTTATTTATAAGTAAACCCCTTATTTAAAACTTGCACATAATTTTTTCAGAAAACAAAGGGGGAATTAAAAAGTCAATTCTATATTTGAAAGTCAATTCAGAAAACTAGAATGATGCATCAAAATAATATCCCAAAGTAATGCCTTTTATATTGTAAACTCTGCGTTAGTGGAGCATTTGACCTCCCCTTATGTGTCTTCCAAGTTAGCTCCGTTCATCAGCCACCGCCACTCCCGCCGATCATTCGCAACAAGCCATCGTTCCTTAGAAAAGCATGTTTTGTTTTTTGTGACGTAGGAATCTGATGAGAAACAGCCCGTATATGAACGAACATCAAGTTAACATGCAAACTGCCTTTTTTTAAGTTGATAATTTCTTGAAAAACCAATTTGGCTATGAAGCTCACAGAGGCATTTGATGATCAGTCAGCTCAAGTGAGCCATGTGATTGATCTTAACTTATGTGAGGAGGAGGAGGAAGAAGAAGATGAAGATGAAGAAGAAACCACATTTGCCACGACAAGACATGTCCCCTAACCACCAATCCATCCTCGTATTTGTCAACTGTTACCAGAAAAAGGCGTCAAGGATAACACAGTCTCCATTACCAGACACATCCGATTCACATCTCACAAACCCTATCTTCTTCTTTCGCTTCAATCATATCGGATCATCATCCACACAATTATTTGTGTGCCCTGTTAATCGTATCCACAAGTGGATGCTCATCGACTTGGTTTGATTGATCTTCTGTTCATTCTATAGATAACAAAATGCTCACTTACATACATACACTATTTGCTTTTACAGGAGTAAGCAGGGAGACAACAAGTTACTGAATCAAATATGAAATTTACATACAAACATAAACCCTTTAGCCTTAAGAAGTCAGAGAGAAGGAAGATTCAACAAACGTTAGAAACCTCAAACCCCTCTACATCATGTCTTGTCCACTAACAAGTCTAGTAGTACACTCAAATTTCTCATTACTAGGACGGTAATTTTACATAAACAAGGAAGAAAGCCACCTCTTGTGTATATGTGCTCAAATATGTGTATCAGTTGCAGCATGCCCTAGTTTCGGCTTTTGCACTTTTCCATTGCTCTTGGTGCTGCAACAAATGAGATGTATGTAAGTAAACCAGTCTTGCTGAAAAATATATATGTTTCTTTCAAATTTCAAAAATTAGATGATAGAAGTAGAAGATAAGGTTACCTAGGCCAATCGCTTCAGAACTCTTCATGATCCTCAATCTCTTGCAAGAGGCAGTGAACATCCTGACACAAGAACAAAGGGATAATATCAGAAAGATGAACGCACGTAATCACTTGTTTTTTGTTCATGCAGGAACGAGAGCAAAGTCTGAAGTTAATACATGGGCAGCAGAGTCATTGTCTTAAAACCACTAAACAAACAGCTGATAATATACGCGGTGAAACATGGAACAGATTCAAATTGACATTCTTCCGACAATCTAACCAGAAACCATAATTCAGACATTATGAAACATGGATGGCACTTACTCCCAAGGCACATCACCAACTAGCATCCAATCACCATCCTTGTCTTCATAGGTAAGCACATATTCTGAGCCATGAAGCAGATCCTTCAACCTACTTTCACTCAAATTATCATGACTTGAAATTCCGTGAGATCCACATTGACCTGAACATGTCATGGATTAAAACATCAGAATCTTCAAAACGCGCAAAATCTCAGTGGACTAGACTAAAATTGGGCCGTAACTCGCGTCACAAAGATGGAAAAATCTCTACTATCAAAGTTTAAATGGGTATATTATGTTTTTTTCATTAGGTAGAAGACTATTCGTTGCTTTTCATCCATGGCTCCAAAGTATTAGCCTTTAGAGACTGTTGATCCTGATTCATTACCGTGCATAGTTCAAATTTTTCACATGATCTCAAAAAAGATGATGAAGAAACTACAGTTAAAGGTAAAGAATGAGTTGCAAGTGGACGGAAACTCACTGATTGTAAAACATCTGAACATCTTTTCAAGTGCTGAAGAAAGTTGCTGGTAACTGCCAAAGTTTTTGAGATCCACTTTCCTCAAGTAGGGGGCACCATCCATGCTTACTTTTACATAAAGACATCCAGACTTGGCTTCTGCATCATCATCGTTCTTTTGAGGATTAGAGGCCATCGAGTTCTTCCTGAAAGATCTGATTGGTGGCCATCCCACAACTTGTTCCCTGATTCACATAAGAAGAGCGCACCAAACTTTAATTATAGCGGGCCTAAGCAAAGACACAACTTCTCTGACTGGAGGCAAAGATTATAATTCAATAGCGAAGTGATCTAGCTAAAAACGGATGCGTATCCTTGTGCTTGAGTCAGAGTCATAGAACTCACACAGCATAAGGGAAATACATGAAAGCATCAGAAGAAAATTTGCAGGGGTTCAATCCGGAAACATATACAACAAGAAATCATATAGAGAAAACGGATGAAACAAGAGAAAAACCACCCCATGAATGATTAACAGAAAAGTAGTATCCTCAAAATTACTTTAAACTAAGAGCAGATTTTCTTATATCAAGAGCTACCAGAACAAGAAATTTAGCAACAGCATAAACAAGAGATTGATCAAAATTTCCAATGGAAAGATTTTCTCTCTTCATTTTCCATGGAGTTTTGTGCAGCATCCAACATATTATAAAGAATTCGCAGAAACATCAACAAGCAACATGGACAAAACAGTGATAAAACGCAACAGTAAAGCAAAAGAACAAAAGTGAAAAATCAAAGAAAGATTGTAATATTACTTCTGAGGAACAGCAGATATCTGGGGCTTCTTCTCATGCAACAATGGCTTTGGTGAGCTTGGGATGCCATCTTTGGCAAGGGAAGCACCTAAACATGTTTGTGGGTTAGTGCCACCTCGAGGAGAAAACAAGCCACCATCTTTACCCAAACCTGCCTCAGATCCTCCATTCCCTGACATAGCCCACTTTCCAGAACCACCATTAATGGTGTCTGAGAAACCCCTCTTGGCCCCACAGACCGCTGCACTCTTTCCGGCGCCGGCACCATCCCTCTCCGGTGACTCGGACCCAGGCAGTCCGAGTCGTAGCTCAGTGGCCTTGAGGTTCAAGCCACTATTGCTTCTCTGAGAAAACTTGTCTGAGCCTTTTTCCATTGAAGGAAGCTCTGTCAAGCCCACATAGTCCTGCTCCTGTGGCACAGACATCAAACCTCGGCTAGGGAAATGATTATCGGAAACCACGAAACGGGCAAAGAAGAAGAACAAGAAAGAGAGAGAGAGCGTGTGTGAAACGGAGATTGAAGAAACAGAATTTAACAGTGGAAGAAAGATATGTTGATGAACAGAACTTTGCTCTGAGCTTTCAGATTCTGTTGTGTTCCTATGTAAACTCTGGGCGCGCTGTGTCTTATTATTAAGAAAGAAAAAGAAGGGGAATTGATATTAATACATTAAGAAAGGGAATATTATCAAGCTCGTAATTTGCAAGGGGAATAATGTTAAATTAATTTCTCGCTTTATTCTTTGTTTAAAATTCCCGAAGACTGTGCACATTTTTTTTATTAATTTTATGAATCTTTATGTAGGCAACCACGCCGACAAGTCACAGAAAGTCCCCGGCAAAGCTATCTCTATATCCTTTTTTTTTTCCCCCGAGATTAGCGTTTGCTTACTTGTATAATGAAATTACAGACATTCAAAAGATAAACCGGTTATTTCTTACAGCTCCTAAGAAAGTAAAAAGTCACTATTTGTATGTCCCAGAAAATATGCGTGGGATGAAGAGCATGTGCAAGACTGCTAGTTGGCGCGAGAAAAGTAAGAAGCACAGAGCATGGAGGAAAATGAAACAGAGGAAAAACAAAAAGGAACAGAGGAACAGAGGAAGAAAGGGACGAAAAGGGTCTCTGGAAAAGGCCAAATTTACATCGATTTTGGAAGCAAAATGCAGAAGATCTCCTATCACAAATTGCAACAAAATTTCTGGGCGTATATACTGAATGGATTCTCCGGGAAAATAAAAATATAAATTTGCGAACAGGAAAGGGAACGTCGGATTGAGATGACAGGATATATGCATATGAGGAGGAAGAAAGGAAAATGAAATGAAACCAACGTCGAAGACAAAGGGATGGGAAATGAAGCAAAACTGACTGTGCCTGTGGTGTACGAGATGCCTTGTTTGAAATTAAAAACGAGTCAGAGGCTAAGCCCAGAAAACAGCACACACTCCGCGTTATCAGCAGTACAGTGGATGCATGTCAACAGGTAAATTGCAGTTTTTAATAAAATTAGTTAAGTTATTTACTTATAATTAAAACTATTTGATAGAAACCTGTTATAATTAATAAGAATATTTTTAAAAAAAATTATAAATTTAAGAGATAGAGTTAATTGAAATCTCATATTAAAACTAAATTTAATTATCAACTAACTCTTATATTTAAAATAAAAAATGGTAGTATTTAGTAGTATGAAATCGAGAAGCATGAGGATTGATCCTACTTGTAATTTTGGATTGTTAATATCTTTCTTTAACAATGCACTATAGAATATGAAAACTTTCTTCTTGTTATTTTAACCAAGCACATGCATAAATAAATAAAAGTGAAAGTTAAAAGATTGATCGAAATCAAATTGAGTTTAGTAATGAAAATGAATTTTTAACTAAATAAATAAAACAAATAATGGAACTGAAAAAAATCAAAAGTTGGAATAATATAATTGTTTTGCCAACAGTTGTGATGATATGATTAATGCTTGTATCGAAAAATAATATAATTAACGCACTATATATAAGCCTTTTGTTTTGGAGAATATTTCAGTCAGATTTTTCTACATCTAGCATGTTTAATTCTCCAATCACATGTGGTATGTATCCTATTTTTTTAATGTGAATTTATAGTATAATAATATTTAAAAATTAAAACATATTACCATGTATGATTAAAAAACTTAATATAATAAATATTAGTAGCATTATCTTTTTGGCTTAATAATTTGGATAGAAACAAATCTCTAAAAATTTCTTCATATTTAAGATAGATGGATAGGATTGTAAAATATTTATAAACCAAAAGGCAGAGTGTTTATTTTATTAATTACCTCTTCACTGAGCTGAATATATGATTCTATTCATAACTTGAATTTGGTCGTCACGGTTAACAACTCATGAATATTATAATTTTATCATATATGTGTATATATTCATTTCAGTCCTTAAGATAAGATTCTCTTTACAATACAAATTACGCTATAAAATAAGTTTTATATTTTTTTAACCAATAAAAGTCTTATACTAAACATAGGAGGAGAAGTATTATATATGTGATGTCCTATGGCTGATACACTAATGCTTCTCAATTCTCAAATGACACACCTATAATTGACCCCCCCCAAAAAAAAACCCATAATTTACCATTCCATTCACATCTTTTTTATTCTCTGTTTCGGAACCTACCTAAAAAATAAAAAAAACTCTGGCAAAAAAAAAAACCATATATGTGTATACATTAAATTTTTAAAAAATTTTAAATAAAAAACCTCTAGAAATGTAATTATTTGTTTAAACTAAAATACTATAAAGTATTAGTAAATTTTGGAAAAGTACTATTCTAATCAATGAATTATGGTGAAACGTAACATAATACTACTTCCAATCCTTAATATAAGACCTTGTTTGACTTTTATTTTGATCCTAAATATAAGACCCCAATCCACTTTGTCTCTTATATTTATGCATTTTTTTCCAAGATAGTCCTCCTAACAATGATAGTTCTAGTCAATACATTCTTGATTAGTAAGGATATTTTAGAAAAGATACCACCTATTTATTACAAATAACTAACTTAACTTCTTTTTTTTAATCTCCTCAAATAGTCAACTAGCTCTTATAATTAAAACGGAGGTATATACTTTTCAATTTCATTACAAATTTATTGGCCAAATGGAATGGGTTGTTTTTATAAATTGTAAGGCCCCTACAATAATGCATCAGGATTTTTATGGGTTTGATAATAACATTTTTTTAAAATTCAGGAATATTTATGATTTTTCAGAAACTCAACAACGAATTTACTTCTTGAAATAATTAAGATTAATATTTTTAATTTGTGAGTTTCAGGATTTTTTATGATTTCATATATAATGGCCAAAGGTCATTTTATTTATTTTTCCGGAAATGTCTGCAATAAATATATTTATTGTTTATTATAATTTTCTTATTAATATATTATTTATGTTTAGTAAATAAATCATTCACGTATTAACTTTAATAATTAATTTATTTAATTAATTCTTATTCTTTTCCTTTATTTGGCTCATTATTTTCCAAAATTCAATAAAAATTTTCCAAAAAATTAAAAATATAACAGAATGGATAGACAAGACGCCGTTACGTTCGTTAGTGGATGGAATGACCCAATTCCACGTACCCAGAAACCTTTCCTCTTTATGTATCACCAAAAAAAAAACTTTCTCTTTACAATTCCATTCCCCATTTTTGTTGCATACTGTATTAACTTCAAAGCCTCTTCTTTGTTTTGTTATTATAATTGTTAGAACGTGAAGGACCATACGCATGGAAAAAATTAAGAAAAGAAAAAAGTCTTCAACACCACATTGATGAAAATACTTAATTTTAAGGAGCCACTTATACTTAATTATTTATTCATCCCCGGAGCCAGCTTGTTAAATAATGATCACACACTCATAAATTATAGGGTTAAAGTATATCCAGTATCTCGAAGTATTTTCTTAGGTGCATCCAGCGCCCTACAATATTTTATGGTACATCCAGCATCTCGAAGTATTTTCTCAGATGCATCCAGTACCCTAAAGTATTTTATAGTGCATCCCGAAGTATTTTTTAGAGACCCTAACATCCTGAAATATTTTTTTTGCCTTGGTGCTAGATACACAGAAAAATATTTTTAGGTGCTGGACACATTTAAAAAACCTTTGAGATGCTAGATGCATAAAAAAATACTTTACGATACTGGAAGCACTTGAGAAAATACTTCAAGGTACTGGATACACCACAAAATATTTTAGAGTGTTGGATGCACCTAAGAAAATACTTCAAGGTGTTAGATGTACCTTAACCCTAAATTATATTGCCGCATTATTACCAATTATATGGCTCTTGTTAATAAAAATAAATTAAAGTTTTACCCCCAACAAAAATACATGAAAGAAAGACATCATTTGATGAATGAATAATTAGAATATATCTTCTTTTTATTATTTAATATCAATCCTCAAAAAATTAAATATGAAATCTTTCTGATGCAAAACTAACATGAAATCAAATAAGAAGAGGCCGGACCAACTTGTCATATTAGGGATTTATAGCTAAATGATTAAGATTGTGAATTGCAAATAATATCAATAAGTGTGTGTGTGTGTGTAAATACTAAAATCTGCTGTGATTGGATTGATTCCAAAATACTCAATTCTCTTTGAACAAAATTGAGATTGTGAATATTATGAATAAAAAATTGCATTAGATGAATTACTTTCAATCAGACCATATAATAATATATAAAAGATTGTTATATTACAAGATATATTAAGATTCATGACAAACAGTACTATTTGTAAATTTTATACAGTGTATTTTATTCTGCTATCCTCAATACAATGCGAAAAAAGTTAAAGTGAAAAATGAAATATGGGGAGATTTTCCCCATAATCAAAACGTTGAACAAGAGAATCCAATGAAAGGACCCACATTCCAAAAACTGTCTAGCGTCAAAGTTCTTGCTGCTAGCTTGGGCCCCTCAAAGTGGCAATCCCACTGTTTGGTATCGAGCAGTGCTTCAATCTCTTTCTTTAACTCCTTTTTTTTTGTAATTCTTTTTTCTCTTCTCAAACAAAAATTATGATGGCCACTCCACCCCACACACACACACTATTCAATAGGGCTGCTGGGAGATATCTTAATCTGGTTTCTGCTTTTGAGAGTTTGTTCGGCAAAGCTCAACTATAATGCGCTGTTTTATATGGTTATGGCAATTTGTGGGCCCAAATTTGCCGTTCACTTTTGCTATAATCATTCCACTTCCACCTTCTTAACTGTATATTCAGATAAGTCTTCCCCACAATGCAGGCTCCTAATCTTTTGTCCTCTTCACTCAAAGCATCACACCCCATTTGCCTCTTCAAGAACTGTGACATGTAACTAATCTTTAATTTCCAATACAAATATTCATCTTCCATCCAGTGATGGAGGCATTATTCGAATCTGCTGAATAATTTCAAATCTGTCCCGTGATAGGCTACAACAGGAGGAATTGGCTTTCCTCATTTCTATTCCTTTTTGTTTGAATAAGAAAAAGGATAATAGAATAATATGAGAAAAACCTTCCAAAAATTTTAGAAATTTTTTATTTTAATATTCTCTCTCTCCCTATTTTCCGTCTATCTAAACAGAGCCTTACAAATCATATATGTGCTTGAAAACATGTTTGCTTAAATGGTCACCAAAGTTGGCAGAAGGACCTCTCAGCTAAGGACTGTTAAATTGCAATGTAATCATTATTTTTTCAATGTAAACATTAATCCAGAATATGACTCACAGACATAGTCATGCATAAGTAATTTATATGCATTACAACTACATGAAACAAAATGATTAAGGAGACTGATAATCAAAGTTTAGACTATTTGATAATCACTTTCTCCGTCACCTAATTATGTCGGCATGTTAACAAGCTTCGATTTTTTGTATGATTTGTTTTTCATAAAAATAGAACAAAATAAAGCCAGCAGAGAATGCCCAAAAGCCCAAATCCAACCAAAAAGAGCAACCAAGCAGGACAACACTTAAACCAGCACTCCAAAATAAAAAGGTGAAAAAAGAATTACTACCCTCAAACAAGCACTTTAGTAATGTGTCCAAGTTCAACATGTGAAATGGTTGTCATAATCAGAACAAAGACTTTTAGGTAAAGGGGTAGGAGACAGCATGAATCTTCAAAACAACACTATCTCTGCCCCATCTGGGATTTGATTGAACATCAAGTGGAGTCCCAACTTCCTTTTTCTTCTTTTCGTATTAAATTTTATAGTCCTAATTGGACTATCATAGTCCTGTTTGAACAATAGCAGCTACACCTCTTAGTCTTGCACACTTGCAAGAGAATTATGGCCCCACCATCTCAGTTGCCCGGCTGCCCTTACTGCTTTTTTTTTTTTTTTTAATTTCTAACTTTGAGAAAGATAGCACAAAATCAATAAGATAATCACATAGTATAAAATCAACTTTACATACATGATTTGATTTATCTTAATATTTGATTTTTCAAGAAGATGAAGTACAATAATGGGCATCTCAAGTGCATAAAATATTCCATAAATAACAGAAAACTTTAACCTGTGCAGTCTCTGAGAGAGAGAGAGAGAGAGAGAGAGAGCACTTAGATACAAACAGTCATACTCAGCTGTAACTCATGGTAATAATCTAACTTAATTAAGGCGTGATCCCTCACGTCCTTAACTTTTTATCTGTACGGATTGATCTCTATTTTTTCCGGCGAGGAGGGGTGCTCTAGATCAGAAATCCTATTTTTGTTAAGGGTTAGTTGTATTTCTCGTTTGGGTAATGATCCTCAGGCAAGAGACAGATGTTGGGATCCTAAGCGAAAAAACCAACTAGAGTAGAAAGGAAGGAAGGCATATAATATTAAAAAACTAAGCATGCTTTTTGAACCAAAGTAGGCTTTATATAATCACCATGCGGGTGCAATGCAAGCAAGACTGAAGAGTCACAACTGCAGCTCATCACAGCACAGCATAACTCAGTCTTGTTTGTGCTCAATGGAATGCCTATTCATACCTTTTTCCTGAAACAGAGTCTTATCAATGTTCATAACGCAAGGATTCACGCTTGTCCCCTAGCACAGTCATGTAGTGGGATACTGCTAAAAAGCCTGCAGATTTTATTGTATTCCAACTCGCATTGCAACCATAGCCATTAAGGGGCCCTGCATCAAATATAAATTATTGGCACTCAAGGGGCCCTTCGTTTCACTTCGTGTACAATGATTTAACCTGAAAGTGACGGATTACCACACATACATATAGAATCACCAGATCAGAAAATGGTTATTTGACAGTGCTGCAGCTATGTAACCCTTTTCACCCGGTCCCATTTGGCTTGTTTCATTCGGCAACACAGACGGACACGCAATTATGACCCTTTTGGATTTTTTGAAGACGAAATATTATCCAAGGGAGCTTCAGGAAATGAAGAACATAAGCAACCAGGAATATATTTCTCGTTTATGAAGGTAAATTCTCGACTCAGTTGTCATTCGTACTCCAACTCAACATGCAGGCAAATAAAAAAAGTCTATAAGCCAACAATCACACAGTATAATAAAAATATGTGCTAAATTAAAGTGGTGGGTTAGCATGAAATTCGTTTCTTCTGATATATCTAGGAAACACAGTGAATTATATGAACCTTGATTTAGTCTGAACAATCATTTGGCTGTCACTTTTCATTAATTTGTTTTATTCATCAAGTGCAGCTGTATAGCACGATGTCATCCTGCAAGAGAAAACCGTCCCAGGGATTGATCCTTTGGTTAACTGATATTAGTTCACAGTCATTGACATAAGAAAGTCAAAACTTTAATCAGTAACTCTTTATCACTTAAATTAAATCAAGAGTTAATACAAATGCTAGTTTGTACTGTTAGAAAATGGCTCCATATGTCACGGCAGCAGCTGCTGCAGCCTGTGGTATTTATGCTATTTATTTGCTATAAAATCCCATTGCTAAATGACAGAATTAACTGCAACACATATTAAAAGGAAAACATAATTGCTACCCACGCAATTGTTTAATGGCAAATTCGGTGACCTTGCATGAAGTAGAAATAAGCCTCACAGTCCATAGCAGGTTGCATAAATATATGAATAGATAGAAAGATTGTTAAGAAAACAAAATTTTTGAACTTAGACACCAAGTTCCTTTAGACCCAAAAAAAAAAAAAAATGCCGTGCATGCCCAGAGTATAAGTAACTGCCAAGACTTTAGGCTTCTTTCTTAAACGTCATTAACAATGATTCATTTCAGCTGGCACAATATCAAGATAGAAGAGTAGCCTGATAATGAATTGAAAGGATATCTTATTGTAGGTAATATCAGACGAACAGCGAAGAAAAAAAAGAGACTTTTAGGTTACAAGTTCACCGTAGCACTTGCGATATCGTGCGGCGAGCATGTGAGACATGAAACGCCAATTTACTCTGCAACCCCCAAGGAATCAAAGTTGATTTGACAGTAAACAGAGAGAGCGAGAAAGATAGAGATAACCCACCATTTCCAAAGTGCGCACACATTGGCTGATAATTTTTTGCAGTAGAATTTTTTTATAACCATTCACCCAATTTAGTCGAGAAAAAGAATATTTGAACGCCACGGAGTCCAGTAGATGTCTAGTCCACATATGTAATAAACAAACTACAAAATGAGAACAGATTAACAATTCGCTCTCAATTGTATCATTCAGTATAACACAACTAAGAAAACCAATATCAGCAAATATCTTAACCTTTCGAATGTGATAGAAGCGAGGGTGATAGCATATATAACTTCAAGGTAAATATTTGAGGACAACATATTTCAAAGGGATCAGTGCATATGTATCTTCCCCCAGAGTCCTGGTGGCAGGGTCAAATCTTTTTCCTTTAGATGACTTAATTTTTTGGAAGATTTTTCCAGAAGCCACTTGTCCCCCCCCTCCCCAAAAAAAAAAGAATTTAGCAATCATTCAGTTGGTTTCAGGGGTTGTTCTGGGATCCTCTGTTTGAAGATTACAGCACGAAAATTTCAGATGCAGTGATTGATGCATTGATATGACAAGTTAAGCCCTTCACCAGTTGAGTCACTTGAACACAAAAGTTTTAGCAAGTGCTCAGTGGTATTATTCGAGTGGCGGCAAATTTAGGGTATTGGTGATGGACGGATTTATAACATGAAACTACATTTAAGAAAACAAACCTGACAAGAATAATGGAGCATTTAAAAAAGTCATCAAGTCATCAACGGGAAGATGGAGTACGTACAAAGCTGTCTGTGTTACTGTGGATGAATGATGCGCATTTCTACAGCCCACTAGTAAAAAGAAGCGTATCTCTTTTGATGCACAAAGAGGCACGTTTTGCTTTGTTTATTGACTGATTCGCTGGGACAAAGCTTCAGTAAAAGTTGACTTTTAAGTTGGTGTGGACTGTGGAGGATTGGCTCCCGGGAAAATTAACATCAAGTCCTTTTTTAAAATTCACTGAGTTTGTCACTTTTGTTAAATTTGCTTCAAATTCGATAACTGAATCACGCGAGGAAAAAGATTAAAAAAAAACGAAACAACTGAAAGCTATGAAATATGAATATTGGGTGACTCAGTTTAGAACCACTTTTAAGCCATGCAACACTACAGTAGTCCCGTTCTTTCTTCACAGGATTCTGTCATATCATCAACACAACATTCATGGACTCCTATTGGGCGACTCCGTTTATAATGCTGATCATTTCTTTGCCTCTGAAGTACCAATTAAAGAGAGAGGGAGGGGCTTTCTTTTCCTTTTCACACAGTTCATAGCCAAAAATGAAAAACGCAGAAACACCTTCACATTTAGGCACTGTCTTTTTGGCCATCTAGCTGCACGCTGAGAAGTCTGTTAACATTTTCCAAGACATGCCGTGTTCCAAAAACCTATTCAAGAGATTCTTTTCTCTACTTTTTTGACCATGTACCGTTTCAGAGGTTTTCTCCAAAAAAAACATGACGATTCAATGTATATTCAACTATCAACTTTATATTTATATTTGTGAGAAGTCAAAAAAGAACGACACGATTGATTGAAATCTCTGTTTTTATAAACAAAAATACCTACTTCGTCAAGATCAAGGAAAATAGATAAAATTTGTTGTGAATTGTTGTAAATATAACATTATTTTCAAAAAGACCTCACTTGTTCAAGGATAATCCTGAGAAACTCTTACAATGGCGCCTAAGCCTTACCTTGAGCATCGGTCTTTTGGACTACGGTTATCTGACTTTTGTGCAGGATCGAGGATTTATACATATTAGGGCCTGACAGGTTCTGCGATTTAGGATAGTTCCAGCGTAATCTTCGACGATAGGACGACATTCCGGCGGCGTAACGTTGCCCCCTGGACTCGGCCACGGCAGGAGTAATTTGAAAGACGGAGGGGATGCTATTGTCGGCCAATGAGGCCGCCCGTGATGAACAAATAATAGACTGGGCTTTGTCTACCCCAAATTGGGGCAAGATTTGAGAACCTTATGGGCCCATCCATTTTGGGCCTTACAAACAATGGCCTAGAGCCCATATTTCATAGGTTGACAAATATGTGCGTGACAGTTTTCTTTCTTTTTGGGCCGCTGGCACCTTAATTCACCCGAAATCATAATAATACTTCTTCTGTCCTAAATATAAGATATATTTTTTAGTGTAATATATAGTGTAAATTATACTACAAAATATGTTTTATATTTAAGACCGGAGGAGTATAAAACAATTTTGGGCTTGATAAAATTTTGAATGAAAAGTGAGGGGAAGTGTGTAGAGGAGATTAAAAATACTACTACCTCTACTCCTTAATATAAAAATTAGTTAACTAATTTGAGTAGATTAAGAAAACTAGTCAAGTTAGTTATTTGTAATAAATATGTGTTATGTTTTTTAAAATATCCTTACTAATCAAGTATATTGGTTAGAACTAGTATTATTACAAGAAGTATTTTGAAAAAATAGATAAATATAAGAGACAAAGTGGATTAGAGTCTTATATTTAGGACTAAAATAAAAGTCAAACGAGTTCTTATATTAAGTATCAGTGATAGTATTAAATAATAAATAAATTGTAAATAAGGCAAAGACTCTAAAAACCTTGGCAAAAAAGTTTTAAAAATAGAAAAATAGAGACGTTTGTGCGTTTGAACAGGGTGAAAAGTAACCGGACTCGGCATTCAACCAATGGCAAATTTTCTCTAAATTAAATTTTGAATATGTGTGAAATAAAATTATTTTTCAAAAATAACTAAGTTGTTATTATTATTAATATGCCAAAAAGTATAAAATTTTGAAGAAGTCATTTTTTCCCGACAAATTTATAACAGTTCCTATTTTTGTAAGGACCAATTCGCTCTCAGAATGTCAAAAAGACATGCCTAATCATAAACAAAATTCGAAATTCCTTGAAAGGCACAACACGCACAAGTGCACAACACAAAAGCCCATGAATTAATCTTCGATTTCACTGACAAAAAAGCAGGAAACAGAGAACCTAGAGTTTGAAGTGGTTATTATTTACATATGTTTAATGAATTTCAGGAATGATATGTAAATGTAAAACGAAATATAGCGAAATAATGAAACCTAAAAACCAATCCAAGTATTTAAGATATTATTATAAAATTTAATCTACAATATATATATAGGTGAGTAAATTAAAAATCGCAAGATGCCAAAACAAAACTCATGAGAGAGAAATGATTAAACTGAAGATTAATTAAGATATGTGGGGAAATTCAACTTTGCATTTGAAAGAATGTGAGTGGACACTGGACAAATTGACAAATAATGGGGTTTCACTTGGCAACTAAGATGGGTAGGCACTAAGCAACTAATTCCTCTTATTTCAGTGTCTCTTGCCGTGCCCATGGACCATTGTTATAAATTTTTTATTTTGACATTTATATTGAAGTTAAGACTCGGGATCGTTCTTTTTTGTTAATGCACTATAATAGCAATGAAATATTGCGACTTGTTTGTATTTGTTTATTTTAAGTGCTTATAAATACTTTACGTAAATCGAGACAAAATTCTCTTCACATACTACTTATCTCATATGTCTGTGGTCCTTGATATAGGACCTAACTAGAAAGTTGAGGTTGATTTTATATGTAAGACCTATTTTGCAAGTTTATTAATTTTTTTAAAATTAATCCTATTGATGTCCAACAATAATCAAATAAAAGGGGAAGGGAGGAAATTAAAAAAGATGCTTAAAGTATTTTTGAAAAAAAATATATCATATTAATTAATTTAATTAATATCCTTAATCTACTTAAATTAATTAATTATGTCTTGATAGCAACATGTCACCAATTTGTGGGGACTGTTACTAATAAGCAACCGTCTGCTAAAAAAAGCTTCTTCTTCTTCTTCTTCTTTTTTTTTTTTTTTGTAGTTGATGGGTGTTTCTTGTTCCTAGTTAGTTTTGGTTAATTTCCATTGATCATTACTCGTTCTTATTGACTATAAAAGTAAAACATGATCCTAGTATAGTAATGAAGAATTGCATATACATTTAAATAAGGTGACGATGCCATTAATTTTAATACATTGATCTAGAACAACGAAGAAGGTGCCATTAATTTTAGAAAAAATTACACACAGGTTTAACAGAAAAGATTTTATTCATCTAAAGTCTCATAAAATATCAAAATTACTGACAGGTCCTAAGAAACCTTTGAGTAATATATTCTATTTGTAAAATGACATTACTACCTTTCACATTCTAAATTCACATTTGCTCTGTCATTGCGATTTACAACCTCAACAGCGATTAACAACCCAATGAGAAGATGTTCACAACCTAAGCAGTATCTATTAACAACTTACTTTATAGGATCGCATAACCTCCACATAAGAGTAAATTATAACCAAATAATATAATACAACAACTTTAACACTAAAATGGAAAGCTTTTTGAAACCATTAAGAACTTTAACTAAATCTACCAGGATTATGGCAAAATTTTAATACTGAGATTCATTGACAATTTCAATGGGAAGTATTAATAACCCAAGAAGAGCCGTTGACAATCTAGGCAGTGTCTGTTAACAACTGATTTTATAGGATAATATAATATCTAACAACTATATAAGATTAACTTTAGCACTATTTAGTTATAATTTAGTTAGTTATAGTTAGAGGTTATATTATCCTATAAAGTCACTTGTTAACAGACACTGCTAAGGTTGTTAACAGTTCTCCTTAGGTTATTAATACTCACCGTTGAGGTTGTCAATGGATCTCCTTATTAAAATTTTGCTATAATCCCATTGGGTTTAGTTAAAATTCTTAATTATTTCAAAAAACTTCCCATTTTAGTGTTAAAGTTGTTGTATTATACTATTTGGTTATAATTTACTCTTATGTGGAGGTTATGTGATCTTATAAAGTAAGTTGTTAACGGATACTGCTTAAGTTGTCAATACCTTCTCATTGGGTTGTTAATAGTCGCTGTTGAGGTTGTAAATCGCAATGATAAAGCAAATGTGAATTTGGAATGTGAGGAGAAGTAACGTCATTTTATAAATAGAATATATTACTCTAAGGTCCCTTGGGACATGTCTGTAATTTTGATATTTTGTGGGACCTTAGATGAATAAAATCTCTTCTGTGGGATCTGTACGTAATTTTTCCTTAATTTTAGAGTTGGTGTAAATCTTATACTACCTCCGATCCTTAA